CCTCCACCCACACCCCTCCTCTTCCCATCTCTCTCTCAATTCTAATTAGAACTTGATATTTTAAAAATTCATTAAGAACAAGTGGAGGACATTTGTAAAGTTCCACTTTAGTACGTAGCTCAGCTAAAGAGAGCTCTGTAACAAAGTATGGAAAGAGAAGACTGTATCAGAATCACAACTGGTCTTTTTTTCTTCATCCCTTAAAGGACTGCAAATTTTCCATTGGTTTTATCAAATTAATTCCCTCATTTGATTTGCATGTGAGGTAGGAAAGTGATGCTTTTCAACTGGCCACCCCTTGGCCACAAGGTGGGAAGGTAACCAGAGAACCTCTCTGCCCCTGACATATTCAACTCCTTATACATCCAGATACTAAGGATGAAAGCAAAAGGATTCACATTTGAAATTTATTTGAAGAGTCCCATTTAAAGCAACTATTCAGGGACACCTGGGATAGTCAGTTAAGCATCCGACTCTTGATTTTGGCTCAGGTCATGATCTCTCAGTTCATGAGATTGAGCCCCTGTGCTGTCAGCACAGAACCTGCTTGGGATTCTCTCTCCCTCTCTTTCTGCCCCTCCCCCACTCACACACATTCTCTCTCACGCACACTCTCTCTCTCTTTCTCTCTCTCTCAAAATAAATAAACATTTTTTAAAAAAAGAAATAGGGGCGCCTGGGTGGCTCAGTCGGTTAAGCGGCTGACTTCGGCTCAGGTCATGATCTCGCGGTCCGTGAGTTCGAGCCCCACGTCAGGCTCTGTGCTGACAGCTCAGAGCCTGGAGCCTGTTTCAGATTCTGTGTCTCCCTCTCTCTGACCCTCCCCCGTTCATGCTCTGTCTCTCTCTGTCTCAAAAATAAATAAACGTTAAAAAAAATTTTTTTAAAGAAACAACTATGCATAATACTAGTAGTGGAGTAAAAATAAAAATTAAACCTTTTTTATAATTTCTGTCATTTCGCAAAGAGAAACAGCTCTTAAATCTGTTGGATTTGTTGCTACCCTTGGCAGTAGGTCCAAATGACTTGGCCCACTTTTATAATCTGCCCAGAACACCTTGTAAGATTCACTTTGTGACAGTGACAGCATTACCATCATTTTACCTGACCAGCATCCCCTCCACACACACCAAAAATTTTTGTTCCGACTTTGGTAAGATCCTGGACTATTCAAAAACTTCCATTGCTTCCAGTGAGGCAGAAAATCAACATACTACATCCTCCGGTGTCCTGTCTGGGGAGGGGCTTGGGAGAGACTGAAAGTCTTAGATGAAAACTAAGGATCCTTGATCCAACCAGCACCAGAGGCATCCTCTTCTCCCTCTGAGGGGACCCTGCGTCAAATCTAAAAGTATGGAAATCTGCCGAGCCAAAAGGTCAGGTCATGCTCCTGGGAACTCAATAAAAGTAATACCCCTGACTCTTCCCGGAGCCCCGTCCCTGAAACTCCTGCACCAGAGACGTCAGTCCAGCCCTTGTGCAGCCCTCGTACCCTCTACTTCTCAACCACCCCTGTAGTCTTCCAACCCACCACCTCTCCCTCCCATGCTAAGTTTTGTTCCCTTGGTCTTCCTGAGATCTTAGGAGGGAAAAGGAAACATAACAAATGCACAAGAGAATGAAAACATCAAATTTTCTAAGTCTCTCAAGTATGGGACCAGAATGCAGATGATGTATGACTATTTCTATCACACCACGAGATTCCTTTTGCCCTCTACATGACTCTCGCACTGTCAGTCTCAAGACAGAAGTGTCCTCAGGCAAAGGTGGCTGTCACGGTTGTTTGGGGGGCCAAGAGTGTTTATAACCCCTTCTCCCATGATTTTCAAGATAAGCCATGTGTAAATGCTTCATTCAGTCACAAATACTTACAGTGCATCTCATATGAGATACATCATTAAAAGGGACACAGTCTCTGCCCTCATTTGCTTCTTGAGACCATGGTATGTTTGGTCTCTGTCTCTTTCCCCACCGCCTCCCAGTTTCCCACTTGATAGACAATGTGATAACCTCACAGACTTCAGCACCCTTCTTTAATCTCCCACTTTCTCTCCAGTCCAGTCTCCATACTGATGACTCAGGGAGATTTCTAGATACCACTTCGCTTCCCGGGTCAGGTTACCGGCTGATTAAAGTTTTCAGTGGCTGGTGCACCTGGGTGGCTCAGTCGGTTGAGCGTCCAACTTTGGCTGTGGTCATGATCTCACAGCTCATGAGTTCGAGCCCCATGTCAGGCTCTGTGCTGACAGCTGACAGCCTGCTTCAGATTCTGTGCCTCCCTCTCTCTCTGCCCCAACCCACTCGCATTCTGTCTCTCTCAAAAATAAATAAACATCAAAACATAAATAAAATCTTTAGTGCCTTACTGTTGCCTTAAAAATAAAGCCTGAACTCCTGAGTAGCAGAATAAACTGACAGTTCTCCAAATATACGATGATCTCAAGGCTCAGGGTCTTTGCATCTGCTGCTCTCTCTACGTAGAATGCTCATCCTCCTCCCTCATCTGGGGAACTCTTACTGATACTTCAAAACTCAGTTGAGATGTCACCACCTCCAGAAAGCTCTCCCTGACTACCAGTTCACCCATTCTGAGTTAGATGTCCCTCATTTCTATTCTCTTAGCACTTTGTTAATATCTCCATCATAGCAAAGGTATATTGAATAATAACCTTATTTACCTGCTTCCTCTCCAGTTAGACTGACAACTAGATACTATACCATTTATCTCTATCTTTATCTTATCACCCTAGTAGACTGTCTAGCACATGGTGCTAGACAGAAATCATTTGGTGCCCAGAAATCATTTGATGAGTGAAGAAGGTCCATATCTAGGAGGGAAGATAGAAAAGCATAACTGTAACAAGGTGTGATAAATACTAGAGTGGGATACAGTGACAAATGAATGTAAATATTAGAAACATCTGCTTGTAAAGAAGACAGGGTCAAGGAAGGAATCCCAGAGAAGATGCTTGGACTGGCTTTGAGGAAGAGTGGGAGATCAACAGGTCTATTGGGAAGAGAATGCAAAGAGAACAGTAGCATATGGAAAACCCTGGATGCCTCAATAGTCATGAAGCCTTGGGGAGACTTCTCTTAGAAGAATGACTCCAGTGACAATAAGAAGAAGATATTGGTGGGAGAGTGACAGGAGAATATTGGAATAATCCAGGTAGATACCTGAATTTCACTAGTTAGCAATGGGTTACAAATGAGGTCAGAGAGAGGAAGCGAACCCAGCATGCCCCTCAGATTTCTCACTTGAGTGAGTGGTAGTACCGTTAACCAGATTTAGAGAAAAAAAAGTGCTTTGGGAGAAAAATGCTAAGCCCAGTCTGCTGGTGTTGAATTGGAAGTGCCTATTGGACGTCCAGGTAAAGATGTGTAGTGTTCAAGGGGATGCATGAGTATGAAGCTCAGAGGAAAAGTCTGGCTAAGAATGAAGATTCTATTATAACTTCACTGGAGCTTTCATTTTACTTCTGCAATTTAATACTGTGCCATGAGGTTTCAGTCATGGGTGGGAACTGCTGGGAGAGGCAATAATTGGTCCCATCTCTGCCTCTGGCTTGGATACAGTGGCCTCCGGTAAGCTATTCGAATTCAGGCTGTGCCTGTGCCTTATGGGAAAGGAGACAACTAAGGAGAACTGAACAAAAATGTTGCAAACATTGCCCCTAAAACAAATTAATTTAGTCCTGTCGTTCATCATTCTTCTCTGAAATGTGGAAGTCATACCAGTGGGGTAAACTTCTGCCACTGCCCAAAAGCCGTACTTTCAAAGACCACCATACACAAAGTGGAAAGAGAAGTCTTTTCCTTCATTGCACTGAAGTCCTTACCCCTAGAAAATCCTCTTTAAACAGAGATATTACTCTCTTGCTACTACAAACATGTGTTTGTTCTTTCTCCTCATTTTGGGGGTGGGGAGTGGTCTTATTTTAGTGCTGTCTTGCCATTGTGATGGCAACTTTTTATTCCTCTTCTTGCCTGGCACCCATCTTGATAATGCTCTGCTATGGGGAGTTTATTCACGATTCTGTCTGCATTATAGAGTTTAGGTTGAGGTCTGCTTTTAGGGTACCAACTAAAATAACATTTTTGCAAAGCAACTCATGGTGCTTTCCCTGGCCAATTTATCTTAAGTGACTTCCACTGAAATGAAATATATTTTAATTCAAAGGTTCTTGACAGTAATGGTACTGTGGGAGTTACCTGATGTGTTCATGGTTGAACCTCTTTTATTCCATCTAACTATTCACAGAGGCTAAATGGGAATTGCTTATGAAGCCTGGGCATTTCTAACAATTCAAGAGGGACTGGTATTTAACCAAATTGTTCTGGCAGTCAGGTGCGAGCATGGCAAAGATTTAGCAAGGGCATTAGTCATGTGTGGAGAATGGAAGATCTCATTTTTAATTCAAACAACTGTGATGGAAAACTCATCATCAAACTTGAATATCAACCAACCATATTTACAAAGAAGGCGATATCACAATAGCACCCAGGGGAATTTAAATGATGCATGATAAAAATTCTCAGAGAAGCCCAAAAACCGATCATCTCATCCAGCATGCTGAATTAAATGCTGCACTAAGTCCAAAGCTGGCACTGTGTTCAATGAAAAGGCCTTAAAATATTTACTTCTTGTTTCAAAGCAAAGGTGCCAGGTTTGTTTGGAATTGTGACTTCAAACATATTCCCTAATTTTAAAAAAAAATGCTAAAAGTTTAATTAAAGTCTCTGCCACACTGACTGAAAATAAGTAACATATCACCACAACTTTATGGCCTGATATTTTAATTTCTGTAAAGGTAAAGTTTGGTGGTCAGATTCAAGATGTAGCCAGGAATTAGCTGCTTCTGAGAAGCAGCGGGCTGCAATCAAATTGTTCAGATGCTCTCTGGAAACCAGTATTCTTTAAGGGATGCTTTTCTAATCTGTTGGAAATGCAAGGTGAGTAGAACCATCCTTGGCTGAGTTAATGTTTCCTTAATTAACAGGTAGGAGATCAAATCATTGAGATCAATGGGGAAAGCACAAGAGACATGACACACGCCAGAGCAATAGAGCTCATCAAGTCGGGAGGAAGAAGGGTCCGTTTGCTGCTGAAGCGCGGGACGGGGCAGGTCCCGGAGTATGGTACGTTTCATGTTTTGATTCACCTGTTTTCTGTTTCTTCTGTGTACTGTAAATGCCTATGCTTATTTGTAAAACTGTATCAGTTCTCTAATTCTACCTAAATATAGACTTGGCTATCAATAGATATATACATGCATATGTACATTTAAGCCGAAGATTTATATGCGTGTGAGCTCTTTCTTTTGCTCCCTTGGTTAAGTGATGTTTAAAATAGCAAATAGAGGACCTTTCAGGGCATCTCTGAGCGTGCAGGGAGATCCAGCCACCACTTATATGTTAGAACTTTTACAATTTGACTAACAGTCTTCTGTTCATTTGAGTCCACAGTAATTTATCACTTATTTCCTAAAATTGCTCATGAATCACAACTGCCCTGTAGGGTATGTGACTGGGACCAGGGAACAAACAAGAACAGATCTTCAGGTGGGGAGATTAGAATGTAAACTTCATGCAGTGATTGCATTTTCTTGGCATTTAGATTCATTCTAATGTTGTGTATCTCTGTGCTTTTCAGGAAGGAATTGAAGTGCATTAGATTTGGCTTCAGAAGTCTTTAATGGTGTTATTTTTCAGCAGCCCATTTAAGACACCACTGACAGTTTTACTAAGAAACTGCTGGGTGGTCATTACATGAGAAGCATCACACCCTGAACTGGCTATAATTAATCTCAGGGAGTGACAGAAAGACAGAAAGACAGATATCAGTGAAAACAGGCACACGGGGCAATGGGATTTAACCATGGTCTGAATAATTAGCTCAAATTGTTGATCTAGAAAAATTGACTCTCATTTTCATCCATTCATCCCCTACCGCCCCCCCACACACACACAAATTCTAAATAATGCTTTTCCCTCTCCAATTATGCTTACCTTAATTATGGGTAACTTGCCTAAGTTACCTAATAATGAGCTGAACACTTCCTTAGTTAGCAGGCAGTATAGTCCTGAGTTCAGTTAAAATATCTGAAATCAAATGCCCTTAAAAATTTTGTTTTCGTGGTCTTGAAACCCCAAAAGGACTGGCAAATACTCAAAGAAAGCGTTGAGAAGTTTCTGTAGGGCTGGCTCTGTGCCCATGGAAAGATTTCATCCCAGGTCCCATCCTTAATGTTTGGATCTAATAAAATATTTTTAAATATGAATATTAGCAACAAGCTCAGACCTGATCCTGTTAAATGCACTAATCCTTTTGTACTAATGCACTAATCCTTTTGTAAAGACTCTTACTCTTGGAATAGGGTAACTTTTTGCACCCCAGAGCAATACATGATTCAATAAGACCAAACTGACCTGTGTGAATTAATCACTTCTAAAAAATACCTTATTTTAAATGTATGTTTCATTCCATGGCAAGACCCATTATCTATACCAAGGAATTTCCATAGAGTTAATATTGTTCTTATTTTACTAACAAATTAAACTTTAAGAAGTTAATCTGAACAACATGGCTATCCCGAGCTTTCTTTTCTTTTATGAAATCACTATTTGGTTCACATTTTCAACAGCTTGTCTATAGTGAGCTATAGACACTATAGTGTCTATAGTGAGCAGTTACAACAGTACCATTGCCCAATTGGCAGCATGACTCAGCTTATAATGCCTACGTATGACGCTGTCTCAAAACATCTTTAAAGAAAAAATAAAAACGTGTTTGAACAAGACAAAAATTCAGGATCATGTCACTATGATCCCATTAATTCATCCATCATCTGGAAATATATGGTTAAGGTTAAATTCTAAAATTAACAAACAGGGTTTGTCAAACATCTGGACACAGTTTAGAGGGACCAATTGTCAATATGGTTAACTCCAGAAGTACTGCAGAGTTCTTCTAAATATATTCCCCTAAAATGTAACATTAAATCATACTTGCCAATGGTTAGTTAGAGTTTGTCAGCTACTGTTGATGTTAGAATGACCTAGATTTTGATTGTAAATTAGCTTTCGAGATTATGTCACAAAATAAGCAATTTAAATTTTTTGTATTTATTTATTTTTGAGAGAGAGAGAGAGAGCGCACACGCACACACACGCACACATACACACACACACACACACACACACACACACACACACAAGTGGGGGACGGGCAGAGAAAAGGAGAGACAGAATCATAGGCAGGCTCCCCACACCTCAGCACAAAGGCCGATGTGAGACTTGAACTCACAAACTGTGAGATCATGACCTCACCACCCAGGTGCCCACAGAGTAACCAATTTAATAGAGAAGGGCAAGGTCTTCTCCTTTAGAGAAGTAAAAGAAAAATCACAAACTAAGTAAACATTAGCACTTCAGGAAAATCTAAGCTGAAAGATGCCTGGTTTTGCATGAGAAACCAAGAAGGTAGGGATCAGACCAGATCTTTGAGGATAATGCCATCAAGTGATATTTCTGGAGTCATAGCAACTCATGAGGAGGGTGTTTCAGGTGTCTCTAAGACCACACGCACATTCAAAAATCTGCTGGAAAGATTCCTGGGACACAGAATATAGTTGTACTCACAGGTAAGATTTATCATAATGACATAGTAAGGATACACAGTGGGATCATAAGGGGGAGAAACAGGCAAAGTCTGGAGGAATCTAGGTACAGGCTTCTTTATTCTCTCTCTCTCTCTCTCTCTCTCTCTCTCTCTCTCTCAGTCAGCCAGAGATCACTCTTCCCCCAGCAATAAAAATTCAGCAATAAAGGTGTGATACTATTACCCAGGGCAATTCATTAAAGATTTGGCACCCAGGGCTTATACTGGGTGCTGGTCATGCAGACCACTCTCTGCCTAGCACATACCAAAATTCTAGACTCCTATAAGAAAAGCAGGTGTTCAGCATAAATTGTATTGTTTGCACGGTTATCCATGAGACACCCTTATCATTTAGGGAAGGGTTTATATTAGTGTAGGAGACAATTTACCTGTCACAGTCCCAGAGGCCAGCCAATGGTCAACCTTGCAAGCAGGTCCCTTTAAGGATAACAGTCTCAAGGCTGTCATGTGAACTCCTGTACCAGGAGCAAGCCAAAGAAGCAGGCACAGTCATTTTACAAATGACCCCAGCATAACAGGACTGCTCACAGCTAAGGAACATCATAATTCCTTCATCACCAGTTAAGTAGACTATATCATGAAGCAGAATTTTTTGTCCAACGTCTGAACACAAGATGGGGGAGGTAACAAAACCGAATAACAGAAACAAGGACAATGAAAGAAAATGCTTGAGTTAGCCAGTAGATATAACCAAGAATATAATCCACTGTGTCCAAATGGCACCCTCATCGCAGGAACACTGAATTTTCCATCAACTATGAGCTTAATCCTGTGTTTGCTTCCTTTGTTTGACTTTTAAGATCCTAAACTTAGCAAAAATCCATCCTTAAAGATAGTTAAAGGAGGTTATCAGAATCTGTAGGAGACATAACCTGCTAGGGAGGTGTGCAGATTTAACCCAGTCTGGGAGAGTGAACTTTGAAGAGTAGATCGACAACCAACAGCCTGTGGCAGGGTTTTAAGTGATATCTACCAGCCCTCCCTCAGATACCTGCAGAATTCTGAATTCACAACAGCTCTGAAGCAAGACCCTTATCTGGATATTTGGCCACATCAACGAAAAGCTGATTTCAGTCAAGAGAAATACAGAACTCTTGCTCTGAGTTCCTAAGGTGATCTGTGACAGAGAGATAAGCGCAGGTACAATTGAAGGAAAAAAAAAAAAAATACCAAGGGTAATCTGTCAGATTGTTGACTAAACAAAATCAGTGTGAATCCAAGTGAGCTGAGGAGAGGAATAAATATGCTGCAAATATGCCATCCATAATTACCGCAAGACTAATCGGCAGACGACACCCCAGCCAAGTCACAGGCATAAATCAGTAAATGCGGCCGTGGAGGTAGGAGCTGCACACAGGCTGTCGAGCTGCTGCAGGGGGAGTCAGCAAGCGATAAGGGCTTTGAAGAAGTTGCTTTTATGGCTAAGTCCTTGAAGGAGATGGATACTTCAACTCTACTTTAGTCCTCAGGATAAGAATTTGTTGATTATAAACTCCGCGGGAAGCGCGAACTCCCCCCTCCCCTGACACACATCTCAACAACTGGCAAGAATAAGAAAATTTCACTCCACCATACTGAGAAAAAGAATCCGAAGATGATGCCTCCAAAGTAATGCCCTCCTTGACACTGGTTGTTGCTATTTGAATTAAATCTTAAAAGGTTAAGAGAGAAGAAAGCATGTATCATGGTTGGAAAGCTGCACAGGAATAAATTATACAAATTAGCTCCCTGCCTTGAAATACAGGTGTCCTTCATTAGCATTCAAGGAATCGATGTGAACACTTACTTGATTTAGATGCTGAGCCACAGAGCCAGGGCCAGGGTAAATAGAGGTGCCACTGGATGAAATAAAAATCAACCAGTTCGGACCAACTTGGGCCTTTCCCCTGGTGATATTTGCTGTTCAAATCTGATTAAATTCAAAATAAAACAAAACAGAAATATGCTTCCTAGTCTTAGCGGTCTAGCCTGTTTATTCTCTTAAGAGGCAACAGAGCATGTCTTTATGACTACCAAGGTGAAGGGAGTCCTGTTGCAAATGGAGACTGGTGGTCTTAGGAGACCCGGCAGGGTCACAAGGATGAAGTGAAATTTTCTTAGTATCGGTGGCCCAGGGACAATGAACACCATATGCCCACGCAAAGGGAAAAAGAAAGAGTCAATCTGAATTTGACTTCCGCCTACCCTTCAATTTTGAAAGTGAATTATGTCTTTAATGGGTTTGGACTTGATTACAGGTCTTTGGTAAATGGAATTGTTTTCATTTTGTAAGCACAATAAAACTGCATTAAGGAAGTAGAGAAAAGATAAGAGTCAGTAACTATAGCTAAAGAAATGAATAGGCCAAATAGTACTGCCTTTCATCAGGAAATACACATGATTTACAATTTATTAGAGCACCAGATTAAGCAGTACTGGTCTCTACTTATATGGCAATAGGCGATGTTTATTTGTTTTTTTTTTTTTTCAAGAATATACATTGGCCATTTGCAATAACATGGATGGAGCTCGAGTATAATACTAAGTGAAATACGTCAGTCAGAGAAAGACAAATACCAAATGATTTCACTCATGTGGAACTTAAGAAACAAAACAAATGACAAAGCGGGAAATAAAAGGGAGAGAGAGAGAGAAACCAAGAAACAGACTCTTAACTATAGAGAAGAAACTGATAGTTACCAGAGGGAAGGTGGGCATGGTGGCAATGGGTTAAAGCAGGTGATGGGGATTAAGGATTTCACTTGTCATGATGAGCACTAGGTGATTGCAATAAAAGATTTTAAAAAAAAAGAACATATATTGACAAGAATATATATTACAAGTGAACATTATAAGCATACTCTTATCATCTTTTTTATAGTTATTTGTTCAGCAAGAGCTTTGGTCCCTCTGACCATACGAAGATAAATGCAGACAGTATGCCCCTACTAAATATTAATACAAGACAAATCTTATAATTAATATCATCAGTTCACATCATTACTGTTCACTTAACTAAATCAGGATTTTTCTGGGCACTAGCGATGTGCAAGGCACTTTGCCGGCACTGAACACAAGATACGGTCCTGGCCCTGGGTGAGCTAACAATCTAAGAATGAGGATATATGTAACCACTGATTCTAACAGAATCTAACAGAATCAGTGGTGACTGATTAAAAGGTCTTCACAGATCTGCTCTAGTAAAAAATTTAAGTGGGTTTTATTAATTATTTGTGGGATTTAATACGTACTTCTAGAGTATTAAGGATCCTTGAAAAGCACTTGGCTTCTTTAGTTTGTTAAACATTGCCTTTGTAATATTTATACCAATGCTTTGTACATTTTCTGAAGAAAGGACTCGCTGAGTATAGGTATATTTCTGCTTAGACCTTGTCTGAATTATTCTAAATTCTAAGTCAGTAAACCAAAACTTCATCTGGCAAATTTGCTAATCACCGATGTTCCCCTCCTGTGGCTGTCAGCCCCCAGAAGCCTGGAGCACTATAACATCATAGCCGGAGGGTTTGTGGGTGTGCTGCTGTGCCCCCACGATAAAAGGAGAGAGTCTCCATTGTCTTGGCTTCTTCCTCAGAGACCACGTTCAGTAGGCTTTGCACTAATTCACCTGCATTTTTAATAGGGCAAAAGGCAGCTTGCTTCAATAATAAATTCTGAAATTTAATTTCAGCTTCTGACATTCATGGTTGAGTGTATCTTCCTTTTCCATGAGAGGTTCCACAAATCACTCCAGTACACCTGTACTGAGTCAGACCCAGGGAAGAGCTCAGGCTGTCCAGCAGAACTCCGGGCCGCATCATAGAGGACAGGGTTCGTCCTGCCTAAAAAGGCTCGCGACTGCTCTCTGCAGCATGTAGGTGAGCCCAGCAAATGCTCTGTGAAGCTCCCAATAAGTTCCCATTTCATGGAGTCAGAGGCAAAAGCTTCCTTAAAAAACACACACAACTTTGAGATTCCGTTTCCCCACTGTTCAGCAAAAACCTCATTTGTTATTTTAAGTGATTTTAGGAGAAGGATGAAATCTCCTTTCTTCACATTGTTTTATTGGGGCCCATGGAGTATAATGAATATTTGCTCTTTTGGGATACCCTTACATGATTTCCAACGTGCCGTTTTCTCTTTTAAGGATATAGTAAATGACCCCCTTCCCCAAGTCCTCACTTGTTAGGCATTTAAGACTCTGGTAAAATATATTAGACCCCATAGTACCCAAGAAATCTACCAAGAAGAACCAATTTGGCCTTTGAGGTCCAACCACCCTCATTTTCCAAATACGTAAGTTGTTGGCCACGTGCATCTTAGAAAACCTAAATATCCCAGCGCTTCCAGTAACCCATCCTGGAGAGTCAGAGTTTAGGCTCTGATAGAACATTCCCTTCCTTCCCCCAGCATGAAGCTGGGCTCTCCCACGGAGGACTGCTTCCTCAAAAGTCCAGGGAGAAGGAATTTTCTTAGAGAAAGCACTACTGAATGCCGTAAGAACATCAACATGGATCCCCAGGAAGTCACACATTTAAGAGAATGTTTTTTACAAGGAGTGGAGGGGAAAGGGGAGAGCAAGGATAAAAGTTAAGAGACAAGAAAGCGGGCAGCCTGGTTTTCAAGCTGTGTGCATATGCATGCATGAACATGATGTGTGGATCTGGCCCAGGACTCCGTATTTTTAAAGCTCCATCTCAGGGAATGCCATGCTCCCAAGATTACGGGGTGTATCTTCTCTGGCTCTGCTGTAAAGGCCGGGCGCATAGGAGTTTTTACTTCTCCTTGGCCCCCACTGTCAGGTGTGCCTCCCCCGCTCTGCAGGTTCCTCCTCTGCCCATCTAGTCTAAATGGCTTTTGTCCTGAGACTCACAGCATTACAACTTAAAGAAAGGAGACTAGATCTTCCTCCCATTGTCCTCCCATTTTCCATCTCTGGCCTTTTTTGACCATCCAAGCTCAGCTCCCACCCTCCTCACAGAGGACAGGCTGACCTTGGGGTTCAAGAGTTGATTCGAGATAAGCTTCTAACCCTTCAGCTGCACTCATTGGGAAGAGGGTACTAAATGCCAAAATCATTTTCCCCGCTGTCTGATTTTTTTCTTGTCTCAAAGTAGAGCTGATACAGAAAAGGTTTTGATCCCTGCGAAGCAGTCAGCCAACCAAACTCTGCTCTCCAGGTGCTCAAAGCAGTATACCAGTTCCTTAAGACAAACTCTTGGGTAGGTCCAGTCAACTGCCATAACCAGCAACCGTGGAGTCTCCAAGTCACTTTCAAGCTTTCATTTTTTAACTAAGGCCCTCTAAACTTTTCATTTCTAATGGAAGAAATAAGTCCATGAAGCCAGATTTTTGTTATTTGAGAAATCTGCATACAGCCGTGCTCCAAGATAGGATTGTGGCAACGTTCCTATCCTGATAAAGGCTTCTTAATATTTCTTTTTAACTTAATTCCCTCAGTCAGGACCAAAGATGAAATTCTATAATGCCTTACTCCAGGCTTGAATGATGCACTCTAATTATAGCAAAATCTCTAAACTTTGAGAATCACACACATTTTTCAATGTGCTATTTGGGCTCAGTTCTTGTTGTTATTTTTTTCATAGAATGAACGCACACTTAGTCCTGACTAAAGAGCTGTGAACTATAATGTGGCTCAGACATTTGCTTACAGAATAACTTGCTTTTACACTACCGAACAAAGGTCTCTGATTTTCTCAGCATGTGCTCTGTAACACCTAGTGATTCTGGCCTCATCAGGACCCTAGGTGTTAAGGCCGAACATACACACTCATAACTGCATTGAATATGCCAGCATACAACTCCATTTTTCACATTTCACTGCAATTTCTACCCCAGCCTTCACAGCAATTTATTTCCACCATGTTCCGGGTTTTTTCTTTGAACTTCTGTCCATGAGGTTTCCTCGCACATGTATCTTTCAAGTCCAGTAAAGGTCACATTTAAAACAAGATGAGAGCCTTCTCTCTGTGTGACACTAAAACAGCTTGATTCTTTTGGTACAAAATTACTTGCATCTTGGCAAGGCTAAATGGTAAACTCAATTAATAAGTCCTGAAATGTAATTTCCATTTCTAACATCCGTAGTTAAGCATTAGTTTTCTTACCACAGAGAGGTTCCGCTTTCCATTTAACCTCAAGGTGCTAGTGCTCACCCTTGGTCTCCCTTCCCTCAGACACACGCCATGCTGTGAAAAGCACTCCATGTGGCATAATCAGAAATCTACGTGGAGCGCTGTTCCATTCTGCATACTGAAGCCATGCAGACATAGCACCCCGTTTGGAGCAAGTTAGGTATTTAGATGGGGAACACCATCAGTAATGCCAGCAAGGAGTACATCAGGCTCAAAATGTCTGAGCTGCATGGCTTAAGTTGTTTCGATCACATTAACCTCACATTCACCTTCCTTTCCCCCGGGCCGCACGGAGCTGAGAAAACACAGTAGCGGGCAAGGGGTGGGGGTGGGGGGGTGGCCGTTGGTGCACCTCCTGGGTCCTGTCCCTTGGAGATTATTGATTTGGATATTCTAGAGTGTCTAGTACCCATCTACGTGTAGATAAAGACCTGTAGCCCAAGAGCTGAGAAAAAGACAAAGCAAGAGAGCCACCGAGAGGGTAGCTTCATAGCATGGCCCTGGGACAGGTGAGTACCTCAGAGGAGAGCAGGCAGGGTGGGGCTGCGTTTCTTTTCCCTGCTTTATTTTTTTCCAGAAAACAATTACACTCAGCAAGTCAACTGTGCACTTTGACTATAAATAAACAAATTGTCAGAGGTGAGGGAAGCTATAAGAACGTGTGAGATTATTAGCAAAAAGAGAGATATAAACATGGGCACACCATGTTTTCATTTTTTCAGTTGTTCATAGTTTGGAACTGATTACTGTGACTGATTCTCAAATGACAGCGGCTATCGCTAAACATCCCATTTTTGTGAGACAGTTCTACAAAAACTGTGATATGACCATTTCAAAAAATTTTTAACATCTGTGCCTCCCTAAAAGCGCCTCAGGATGCCCTCAATATTTTGAGAAAAATCTACTTTTGGAATACACATGTAGCTCAGTCTTGCACTAATTTCATGCTGCATGCTTGACAGGGGTAGCTCTACTTAAAGTCTTTATTCTTACTGCCTAGATAATTTGTATTCAGCTGCTCTAAACATACTAAGCAATCTTGACTCTAACAGTAATAATATATCTTTGTCACTGGTTCTGTTAATTCTAATGATTGGTCCTAGGCTGTTCCTCCCCTTCCTTTAGGAATGGTACCTTCCAGTCTCTCCATGTGCATGAAAAGTGACAAGCATGGGTCCCCATATTTCTACTTATTGGGCCACCCTAAAGACACGGTTTGTAAAATCTGCATGAATATTATCTTTCTCTAATGAGCTTTGGTTTTGCATTGTTTGTAACTGATGTATAATGCTTTTTCTTTCATAGTAGCTTGTCTAATTACTGCTAGAGCTCTGGAAAATACATGTAGCTGAGACCTTACATTATCCTTATAAGGATATGCTATCCTTATAAGGATAGGATTTGTGGGTTCCTGAAAACTTGAGATGCACCAAATTCCAGGGGTCTGGTCCAGAATGGCCCCAGCAGGAAGGAAATGGAGGGAGGGTACAGCAGACCGCATTGGCAGAGTTCTGCTCCACACACTTCCAAAAATCCTCCCCAGGCTTTGATGCAAATGATCAAATTGGTTTCCCCTCAACCCAAGTTCAGATAGCTCTGACCCAGGGCACCCCTTTGGCACCAGACAGAAGGAGAGCTGCATTGCCAAACATTCTAGCCCTAGGATCTCTGAACATCCCCTGGCATCATGGTATGTCCCTCACCCACCCTGTGGTCACTGTCCACACAGGACTGGAGCTTCTCATTTTCCTTCCTTGTGCTCAAAGATACACCAAATTTAAAGGGGGGGAGGGGGGGAATAGTTGTGACTTTTTCAAAAGTAGGCATAACTTTGTATCTGAACATGATTCACCACTATTTCAAAATGAATATTCTTAAGTGTTGGCTGTATTTGAGCCAGCACTTGGAAAAAGGCTTAAGGGGAAAAAAATCCCATACATAAATAAAGCAGAATATAGATGATAGCCTTGCAAATAGGGTTCAAGCAACTTTTCACCCCTCAAACACACCCCTAGGGTGGCCCACGTTTCCACTGTGAAATCCTGCAATGGGCAGGTGGCTACTGCCACATTTTAATAGGTAGGACTGGAATTTTAAAACATCAGTTTGACTTTTCGGCAGAAATTGATACCATGCTCAGTCCCCATGGTTAGGCATGGAAGCATGAATCAGACTGACACGTTTCTCAATTCAGGCTTGATGTGACCCCATTGACACTGTCACAGCCATGGTTAAGCATCTCTCCACCAAAGTCTTTTAAGCTAGCTTTCTGAATTTTTCCTGAAACATATTTTCCAACTGTTAAGGACCCTGCAGATTGCCATTGGGATTGGTATAACTCTAACGTGAAAGATAATATTTACTCACTAAGTGAGTTATTTGGCCTAATGCTAAACAATTCCTTACCAAATACTTTTATGCCCATATAAGTATTACACACACACACACACACACACACACACACACACAATTGCAATTATTCTTTGAGGGTGTGTTAAAAAACAGATGTTTTAAATGTATCATTTCTCTAAAGTGTCTGTCTCTCAAGGATGTTATGATCAGGGGAAGCCTGAATCAGAGCATAAAGGAGAAAGCTCCAATTTACTGGAAAAGGCGTAAAGCCATGGAACAATTATAGGGAAGTCCAGTCCATTGACTATGGTTTAAATAGGTATAGATTTGTGTTTCTGACAAAAGAAAGGTATATGCTTACCATTTAATTTACTTTACCTAGTCTGTAATCCATGGAGGTGAGGAGACCTGAATCAACCAATTAACCAGTGTCACCAGCCAAAAACAAAAACACAAGAAGGCTCTTTGTGGTTTCTGTCCAGTCCTACCAACATCTATCAGGCTCTTTACTCAATGCTGGGATGTAAAGATTAATAAGAGAGCCTCTGCCTATATGCATTCACAAGTAAGTAGGAGTGACAGGGAGAAAACCAGGCAGAGGGGCAAGTATGAGTAGTATTGGCAAAGGAGTGATAAGAGTTCAAAGAAGGCAATATACTAAATCTGCTTAGCAGAGTCATAGAAGGCTCTACTTTACATTTTAGCCGGGACCTGAGTGACAAGTAGGATTTCACCAGTGTGGGCAAGAAGTAAGGCTGTTCCAGGCAAAGGAAACAGTTTGACCGAAGTCAGGGAGTCATGTTGAGAACAGCTATCACATAGGCTAAATGAGAAAGGGGGGCCCTAAATAAAAGAACACAAAGGTGGGTTCAATGAGAAAGGGCCTTGTATGCCAAGCAGAGGAATTTGGATTTTATATAACCAGATGTCACTGAAAAATTGTTTGAATGAAATGGCGAAAATATCCGTATTTGGAAATATTCTTCGATACTGGATTTTATAAGAAACTGGAGACAGTTAAAATGCTATTGTGGAGGTTGAAACACATGATAAGAAGACCAGACTTGGGGGAGTGATAGTGGAAATAGCACATTGTGAATAGATTCTGGAGATACTCCAGCCATTCCGTTGATGGAAGTAACAAAACTGGTGAACGATGAATATGAAAGAAGGGGCTCAGGGAGGAGGCTTGTGGCCCAGGGCTCACTGGAAGATGACACCTACAGTTGAAGGAGGAAATTTAAAAAGAAAGATAACGAGGTTACTTTTGGACTTGCTGAATTCTGGATGCCCAGAGGACTCTTACCGACAGGGTAGTTGGATAAGGCACTCAAGGGCCGGAGCACTGGGGGAGTCCCTAAGAGGACAGTGAGGGCCGCAAATGGGCCTCTCTCAGAGGCCCCTCTGTGTACAGAGAGGAGAGTCCATGGGACATGGTCACATCCATGTGGTAAGTAAGAGATCAGGAGAGGACAATCCAAAAAGCAAGAAGAGAACCAAAGAGAAGAGTGGTGGGAGCCAGAGAGAGGGTTTCAGGAAAGCTACAGGGAGAATGACCCATTTTCTTGATGAAAAAGTGGTTGCTCTGCCCCAAGATGGGCTGGGAGCAGGGTTAGGAAAGGAGTGGGAAGGAGAAGGAGGAGGAGGAGGCAGGGACTGGAATCCACTTTACTGCCTGGTTTAACACAATGCTGGGTGCATAGCATTCAATAAATGGTAGTGATTTTGAGGGTTGTGGGTAGGAAACGCCTTCATGCACTACTCTCCATGGACCTCACCACAGGACTTCCCCACAGGGTTCCCCACATTCTGGGCCACAATGGGAATCCACGAGTGAGATGGCAAATAACTAGAGCTCCTACTTAGATCCAGTCATGGGTTTAAGGCCTGGTTTGTCTGGTTTGTTTTTTCAGAGGGCCGGGATAGGCAGGGTACAAAGATGAATGACACCATTTCTCCCCTAGGGGAACTATGTATATAGAGCATGTTTAAGGAAAACATGGTGGGGGCGCCTGGGTGGCTCAGTCGGTTAAGCATCCTACTTCAGCTCAGGTCACGATCTCGCGGTCCATGAGTTCAAGCCCCGCGTCAGGCTCTGGGCTGATGGCTCAGAGCCTGGAGCCTGTTTCCGATTCTGTGTCTCCCTCTCTCTCTGCCCCTCCCCCGTTCATGCTCTGTCTCTCTCTGTCTCAAAAATAAAACGTTAAAAAAAATTTTTTTTTTAAATAAAAAAAAAAAATAAGGAAAACATGGTGCTCACTGTTCACAAAAAAATACTCTTTGGGCGCCTGGGTGCCTCAGCCGGTTAAGCATCTGACCCTTGATCTCAGCTCAGATCTTAATCTTAGGGTTGTGAGTTCAAGCCCTGTGTTGGGCTCTATGCTGGGGGTGAAGCCTACTTAAAAAAAAAATACTCCGTACTGGAACTCATTAAAGTCACTCTCAAATGTATTACGTTCCTGGATTGATGTACAAAACATTTTGAAAACAAGCATGATCTGCTTAATTTCCCTTTCCAGGGACACATTTGCCCTTTGAAATCTGGATTCCATCATCAAGTTTCCAATGAAAGTGTCCCCTCAATGATCACCAGTCTTACCATGGTAACAAAGTCCAATGACTAATTCAATCCTTTATTCCCCTGGGACTCCCTGGAGTAGTTAACACTACTGATCAGTATATTAGCTGGATTTTCTCTTGCTGTTCTGATTGCCTCTCCAGGGTGTCCTTCAACACTCTTCCCATCCAGCAAGGCCCCTCCCCAGATTTTCCCTCAGGATCTCACTCTCCCCCAGGGTTCCACCTGTCAAGACTGTGCAGATGACTCATTTCTGTTTTGTCATGTCTGGCTTCATTCCACAGCTCCACCCTGAGATTTCCCACTGCCTGCTAGACATTACTAGCCAGATACCCCACATTTGTGTATTCAAAATTATATTTATGATCTTTCCTCCTAAAAATACTCCTCCTCTTGAATCACTTATTAATTAAGGGACCATCAATCCTCCTCATCACCCACCTCAAAGCCATCTTGACTGCCTTCCCTATATATATAAAGAGTTCCCAAGAGGGAGTGATTTTACGTCTCTCATTTCTCACAATGACTTTCTCTCCATTCCTATTGTTTAGGGCCACTCCACAAGGTTAAATAGCCCACCTGTTTTCTGTATTGCTCTGGCCAATCTTCCCAGCTCGATACTAGAGCAATAGAGCAATTGGTTGTCCTTAAGGACTTCCCCCCCCCCACCCCGCCCAAAGACCTTTTCCACAAACACACACACACACACACACACACACCTTTAATTAGGGCCAGAACCATCCCTGGTTTGGCTCCATCCAAATCAGTCTTGTCTCTCATCTCCCACAATATCCTATTTCATATCTGTGCCCCAGCTACACTGGAGTATTTGCCATTGCCCTATATTCCCACCTTCATGGGTGGGCACATGCTGATCCCATGTTTGAGAAACCCTTTTTCCAAATCATGTCCTCCTTTAAGAACCACATCAAAGGCTGCCCCCTCCATGAATCCTTCCCCATGTCCACCAATCAGAAGTAACATCCCAGTCCTCTGAAATCCCATAGCCCTTTATATCTCCCCTGTTCCCTCTTACTCTCTCTTTTACAACATAATTATCAATATCCACCTACTTCCTCCCCTTTCTAGAATTCAAATACTGCTCATCACTCTGGATTATTAATATGGTGCTTTATAGAGTGAACAAGTGAGTGCATGAATGACTGTAAGTCTCGCAGTATCACAAAGTCATTATTCTGACAGCAGATCTCAATGTAAGCTTTTGTAGATGGTTGCAGAAGGCATAGGATGGTGTCCCAACTTTCCATTGACTGTCTCAACCTA